TCATTTAATAGCACAAGCTATGCTTACGACCGGTTTCGACCTTGCTTTAGGGTCTTCATCAGGTAAGTTCGGCTATTAAATTTTAAAGTGCTGCAATTCGATTCTACCTACAAATTTGAAAGAGTTCAATGGAAGTTTCCAAAGTTAAAACTTTCTCTAAACTATCGGTCAATATTTTGTAGAAGGATCAGAAGTATCTCCAAAATTTTTTAGCAAAGAAGCGAAATGTGTTTGAGAAATACAAGGGTAGGTATGGGACGACCGGTTTTGGCCTTGCGAAAGCGACTTATGGGTGTTGTTGTGATAAAGTTACCACCATACTAAGTATATAGTATTTCGATTTTTGAAGGAAAATCTTGTCAAATGTCACGTATTCGTATGGGTGATCGGAAAATATAAGAAATTCTTAAACCAAATACTAAATCCTCTTCAGTGATTGTTCGCTGAGAATTATGAAAGTCCATTTTCTTATCTTCATCTTCATCTATATCGTCATCATATTCGTGAAAGATATCATCGAATCGATCAATATCTGGTTCTACCTATATTAAAATATGTTGTCTTAGAAAATCATTCAAAATCTTTAAAATAATAGATACATCTTCGCCTGAATCAGTGATTTGGGCTTTTTCAGAAATGAAAAATTCAATCTAAACAAGTATTGAAATCTAAAATAAGTAATGTAAAATTCTCTAAAATTGAATAATAAAAGAACAATTTTCTTAAAAAAAATTATATCAAAGATCGACTGATATCTCTCTCTCTAATAGAATTGCTCTCTAATAACCTACAAACGGACACAATTTATATAATATTTAGAAAGAAATCTGAAAATTCAGTTACAATATGCAAAAAAAAAACGATATCGAATGTGTCAAATAAGTTCTTTTTCATAGATTGAAAGAGTCTTATGCCGAGACATTAATTTTAGAGATGTAGATTTGCTTCGGTGATAGTTCAATTGGATTTCGTGTCTGTCCGAAGTTTGGTGAAAGCACGAAGTTTTAATTTGTAGACAGATACAAGGTGTTCACTAATATTGTTGAAACGTTTTATCATAATATCGAACATAACTTTAGTTAATATTCTATCGGATAGATGTGTAGATTCATTTTCTTTTAATTTATTCATTACATTATTAAACTGTAATCGATATTGATTTGCTCGAAATTCAGCAGCTTCAACATAAACGCGCATCATATCAACTTTTGTTCATTGTAAAATTTTATCATATCGACCTTTTAGAGATTGAGCTGTCTCCGTATCCATTATTGTATGTATTGGAGTAGGTATCGATATTTCGAGTTTATCAAATGATGTTGGTAGATGATTATGAGTGATACGCTGTTTTAATAGAGCAAGTTCTAGTTTTGATTTCTCTATATCAAATTTCTTTTGTGTAAGATATTGAAATAGTTGTTTCTAAATAGAAGAAGATAACTAGGAAATATAATGTTTTATACTGTTCCAAAATTTACTTGATATACATTTGAATTTTCACTATAAAATTCAAGTTCGGATAATCGATCAAAGAAATCATATTCAATAAGGATGATTTCTTTTTCAATAGGTATTTGATATAGAATAATCTTATAGTCTTGAACAAATTTCGTAATAGTTTCTTCAATTCTACTTGTCCAGCGATTGCGTATATGTCGCTTTTTCTCTTCCAATTGATTTTGGTAGTTGGACATTTTAATTCTATATTTCTCTAGAATTTTCTCTACGTATTTTACACACTCATCCTGATAGATTTCATTTCGATGCGTGGCTTTCGTTTGATTTTCTGCAATTATTTTTAATTTCAGCTCGTTAGACCACAATAGTAGCGACGGTTCTTTATTTTGTACTAATGTACCCTGACCAGAACGTAAATATGTCGTATAAAGATATTTTTCTAATTTAATACGTTGAAGTTGATCAATGAGAAATGCAATAGCTCGTAATTCTTCCGTATAAATAATAGTGCCAGTTTGTTGACGGAGACCGAGGATCATCCGATCGAATTCTTTACTTTCATGTGATAAATATTTTGGTATCAATTGACTGGAGATGACGACGTTATCTGTTTTTGTTCGCGATAGTACACTGGCTGCTCGAGTAGTAGTTTCGGATTCTTGATGTGTAGCCGATAGGTGACTTAACTTTCCAGATAAATATTGTTGTTTTTCTTGCTCACCAACTGTTAAACCAAGTAAAATCTGATCTACCTCTGGACATTGCTCAATATCAAATAAATCATCATCATATTCTTTCACGAATCGCCTACGTCTCTTATCGAATTGAATATTTGTCTCGTCATCTGCGTGAAAATCATCATGAAATTCCTGAAAAATATCTTCAATCTAAAATAGAAATAACGCTTATGTATTCTGTAAACTCAACATGGTTCCACTTACATTTCCTTGTGCTAGACTCATTCCTTGATAAAAGCACAGAAAAATCTTTAAAATGATGTAAATATCTACAAATATTGACACAAGAAGAAGTGGTTCTATTTTAATAGGTTTGAAATTAACAAAAAAGGCATGAAATAAGAAAAGTCTATAATGTTTATTGAAAAGACCAATGTCCTTCTTGTCAGATAGTTTATAATTACATATAATAGGAGTGTGGGTGTGTATAAAATTTATTTAATAGCACAAGCTACTTGCAACCGGTTTCGACCTTGCTTAAGGGTCATCTTCAGCAATTGTGTAAATAAAGAATGTTGTGGAATATGCTGCTACGATTTGGAGTGTAAAAGCAGTCGAATCGGAAAGAATGGTATTCGGCGTAGATTTTTGAGCGTTGTTATGACATAGTTGATAGTGTTTTTTGTGGCGCAGAGGAATTTGTTTTGGGAAGGAATAGATGTTTATAAATCTATGGACAAGTAGCGTAGAATCTTCTGTTGGAAGATTTTTGTTTGTTGGTATGTGTAGTATCCGATTTGGCGTTTGTTGTTTCGATAGTGTAGATGGAATGAAGGTAGTTTAGTGCGAGTTGGATGGATTAATGGAAATGGCGAGCAGTTTTATGAAGTAGCAGTATGTCAAATGGTTTGTTAGTGCTTGTAATTTTAGTGTTTTTTTAGGGATAATCTGGTAAGTGTTTGAAATATGTGAGTTCGTTTTGGAGTGGACTGGTAATTTCATCCAATGGTGTTGTTTTTTTTTTTATTTGTGTTTCATTGATTATGTTTGTTTATTCTGGATAATGTTTCCGATGTGGTATTGTTACAGTTCTGATACCTAATGCAGAGCTAGTGGAGATAGGTTTTTGGTATATCGATTGATGTTTTGGTTTCAGTCAAGCCGTTGTCTGATAATCTGTATAAATGTTGAGCGAACCTAGGTTGATTTGTCGTGTATTTGGTAGTGATATGGGTGGATTTATAACGAGAATGTCATGGATTTGTTCAGTTGAGTAGGAAACTAGTAAGTGTGCTTCCAGGATTATAATTATCTAGAATGAAACTATATATATTAGTATGACATTAGAAGTGCGCAAATGTATTTTATTAATCTAAGGTTAACTATTTCGCACACAGATTACAAACACTAAAGATTAACTAATATCTACGAGGTAAATAAAGTTGCTTATATTGATCAAATGTTATTTTATAATAGTGACCATTGTATTTTTAAAAGGTCACTGAGTTTATGTCGTGGTTCACATTGATGAATTATTCAAATTAGCACACCAATGTAGGTTATACGGAAGACCGTAACGTTTTTCAGCATTACCACCAAGTGGACAAATCATATTCAATTTAGTTTCACCATGAATAATGAATAATGTTCCGATGATGTACCGTAGTATCATTGAACAATCATCTGGTACTAAATCAATGTGAATGAAAAACAGGTAGAAATGATAATGATGATGATGATGATGTGGTTGATAAAGATAGATTTACTTACAAACGGCAATGATTGCTATGTTATACAAATCCAATTTGATATAAGGCCGCTAATGAATGGAAGACGTAGCAAATCGGTCGAAAAATAGACGCTGTTGTTTTAGCTGTCGAAATGAGAAGGTATAGGAAGTTGGTGGTAATAGTACATTATCTAGATAATTGGCCACTCTACGATTGTCTACGGCTGTTGTTGCTATCACAGCATCCAGATTGGGATCTGTAGTAGAAGGTTTTGGACGATTAGCAGCATTTTCTGTTACTGCTTCATCCCAAGGTAGAGGAATAAAACACCAATACATAGGATTGCAATCAAGAAATGAACGAAGTGCTCCTGCACAACGAGCTGAATGTTGATAGAGACGCATTTGATTAGCCATTTCGTTTCTACAACAAGGAAAAAGAAAACAAAGAATATGTAGCATAATCGAAAGAATGATCAAATGTCTTTTATTACTCTCTCTCGTCAGGATCGATTTGTGATCCTCGAAATAGAGGACTACCAGTTAATTTTTCATGTATAATTCGATTGCCATGTTCTCGATGATCTGTATATCATTAGGAAAAAGAAGAAGAAGAGAAATAAAGGCATGCTTATGATTATCGTAAGAAAATTTATATTTACGAGCCATAACATCAGCCAATGTTTTTGCTGTTGAATCAATATAATCATAATGACCACATGGACATGTCATGGCATAAATTATATTCGATGTAGTACATGTCTAAATTTTAGTCATAGCCGACCGATATAAAATTCAATATTTAAGGACAACATACTGCTGGACAATTGAGATAGGTAGTATATCCATTGACAAATCGATGCATTGAACTTGAATTAAAATCAACAACTGACCATTTTTGAGTTTTCTTATGACTATTTAATGGATGACAACATAGACAAAATAGATTGCCACATGGAGTCAATGTATATCTTGCTTGAAGTTCATCTCTTCCACAGAAAAGACCTTCAATCTTCGATCGAGGTTCAGCACCTCGAAATGAACAAGTTTTCATGTAGAAGAGATCCACTAAAGAATATCAAAAAATCTATTCTATAAGGAAATGATTTGCCTATAAGAAGACTAACCATCTATTTGTAAATAGAATTCCAATGCTATAGCCATTTGTTTTGAATTGAGTGTTGGTTCTTTTAGAGCAACATCACTCTTACATAGAACATATCGTCGAAATGATTCATGGAATACAAGAAGAGTATGACAGATGCTACGAAGTTGTTGTGCGTTGAAAGTAATTATTGATTTGCCTACTTGTAATCGTGAAGCTAATTCATTAGCATCTTGTTCAGATAAACTAAATTCATCGGAATAATTGTACTTATTCATCAGCATCAGTGCATCGAAAGTATAGGCTCCATATTGACGTCGATTAATTTGATGAGGTGCAAGACGATTAACTAAAAGACAATGAAATGAAATGATTTATAATCAATTTATATCGAACATACGAACCTGGTACATTAGCCAAAACTAAACACTCATTTGGACCAACATATTCTGTTGGAAATATAGGTAAATAAGCATATCGTCCATTATTTTTATCTAATAATGTTCTTGATTGATATTCTTGTTGTTCATTATTAATTAACAAAGAAGTAGCTTGTTCTGCTCGAGTTAAATCAATTGTATTGAAATCCATATACAGTAGAAAATATTTTGAATTTTTGCTATTCTTTCGTATTTTATACCGATTATATTTTTGTTTTTTGCGTCAAGATTCTATCTGAAAGAGAGAAGGATATGAATGAAAAAAAGTTTTTGTTTTTCCTATCTAATTTCTTTTTTTATATGATTAAGAGCGAAGATTGTATCTAAAATAGTAAGATAAAATAAGCTCGATATAAAAGAAGTTTACTTGATTTGTATTAGGATTTTGAGCAAAATAAGTGTGTTGAAATATTATATTGGTATAATGATATTGAACCGTGCCAATATGTTCATTGATTTCAATATGTAAAGATTGAAGTCCTTGTTGTACAAATTTTTCAATGGTATATTCGATGCTACAGTCATAACCAGATAAACGAGTGGTCTTGACATTTAATTCGCGTCGATAATGTTCCTTTTTATTGTACAATTCTTGTAAACATTGATTGGCAAAAATTAAACAACTACTTTCATGAATAATATTATCATTTTTTAACTGTTTCATGAGTGATGAAACTTCTTTTGACCAAAATTTCGTATCGGATACATTGATTGGTCGCTTGGATTGTATTTCTTCCATACCATATTTTCGGTAGACTATCCAGAGAGATTGTACTATGTCAATCGACATAATTTTATGCATACGAATAGCAATATCTCTTATTTCATCTAAATTCATCGTTGATGGTAAAATGGTTCGAAGTTTCTTTTCAAAAGATGGATTTTTTGAACAAAGATAGTCGGGTATAGATTGCCATTCACTACCAATTGTTTTCGAAAGAATGATTTCTATAGGAAATCTTGTTATTTGTGTTTTTGTTGAATTGATTTTAAAAGGTGAAAATTGGCCAAGCTCTTGTGATAGGACTTGTTCATTGACTATCTAAGAAGAAAATCATTGTTCATAGAATAGAAAGATCTTTGTTATTCTTCTGTCTTACTTTTGGGTCAGAAACTGTACTACGACGAGTAATAGTTTTAGTAGAATTGAGATTTGATGTTGTCATTACCATTTGAAATTGAATGGGATACAACACAACAAAGATAGAATTCTGAAAGTGAGATCTAGAAGAAAAAAGAAAAGCAAAACATCAGAAGATAAATTTGTTTACTACTCGAAAAACAAACTATGAAACATGACACAAAAAAAGAAATGAATGAAGCGTTACAATAGAACTACATTCTACAATATTGATTAAAATGAACAATCTACAGTGCTAGAGTCAGTAAGATCTATAACAAAGGAATAGATCGTTATCCTTGAGACGAAGCATGAATAAATTTTATAATTTGTTGTGCATGTTGTTCGATATTATCGAGACGAGCTTGGATAATAGCACGCATTGAAGGAGGAAAGCATTCCATAGATAATAATTGATTCTTTTGATCATTACCATCAATGTCAAATTCATTTTGTTTCATATTTGTTATTGAACGATTACCTAGAATTATTCCTTTAACCATAACTTGATCATTCATTGACCAACGCTTCTTTTGTTGACTAATGATCTTCTCACATGCTCTTAATTTTGATCGCCGAATTTGTTGAGTAGAATAAACCTATGAGAAGAATAAGAATAAGAGAAAGTTAGGCTAAATAAAATATTCACCTGTTCTTCTATTGGATTTAAATCATAGAATGATTTGACAAGATTTGCATCATTGATATCTTACGTAAATAAAATTTTCTTCTGTTCAAAATTTGTATTGAAATGATGCAAATCATTTTGCATGAGAACAACAAGAGCATTGCATATAATCTTCATCCATTGTTCAAAAGACATTTTATCATCGTTCATTTTTAAGTATGATGAATATCGTTGTAAATAATTTTATAAATTAATTTCTAACCGTTGTAATTTATTTCGAATGAGATTTTGTTGATATTGAATATTTAGTTTTGTTTTCGAATGATCCCAATTAATGGAATTTTTTTCTATTGCATCTTTCGATACTTCTGATAACCAAGTCACAACAGACATGTTTAAATTACCAATGTAGTACCAATAGTCTTCTTCGATTTTCAATTGAAAGGAAGTACACATGAATATAGCAAGTTGTTGTGAGAATTGTAACATTTCAGTACTTGCTAACCATTGTTGAATCTGATAATGATCCGTTTGAATAGTTTTGCAGAGTAAACGTTTGAATTCATGAGAAGACAAGGTCTTATAATTTGGTAAGAGTTTGCATGTCAGCTTCCAATCATCTGTAGGTAAATCGTAATGGTTGTTCATTTTTTGATGTGTTCTTGTAGATGATGAATTATTACCTTGGTTCTATACAAAAGAAAAACATCGTGTTTGTTTTTATTCATCATTTGATCGTATTTGGTTTCCATAGAACATGGACACTTGAATATCCTCCTTATTGGCATTTCTGACAAAAAAATCATCCATCATTTCATCGTGGTCTGTTTCCCGATGAGCTTGATGAATGGAATTATTGATTTGATGCATTGTCAATAACATTTTTACGGTTTGATCGTTCATTCCTTGTACTCGACATTTCCCTCTATAGCGTTGGAGTAGCCGATTACCACGGGACTTTTTCTTCTTCTTTAGTTCCTTCTTGTTGTTCTTGAAGTTTTGCTATTGTTCAATGAGTACTTGTATTTGTGAAACTGGTTCATGCCAACCAGCTTGAGCATTTGAACCTGACATTTTGATTGAATCTTTTGTTACAGTCTATATTATCGATATTTCTATCTAGAAAACAAAAAACTTATTAGCGAAGCCCCAATGAAACTCAGATGTCGAACTTAACCCTTTGAGTACGGGCGACGAACATGTTCATCGTGTGACTTTGCGCTCTGAATAACTTTAAAAAACATGATCTTTTGGTTATTTAATGATATAAATTGCATGGATATCTATGTTTAGGACATTGATGCAGTTAATACCATTTATAATTACTGATGATTATTGACTGTCCCTTCGCCTTTTGAGTCCGAGATTAGTTTTATGTAGTAAAAACGACGAGGGAGAGTTGATAGGCAAATCAGTTCTATAAACGTTTTTTTTTATTCGAAACCCAAACTATATTATACCAAACGAAAGGGGCCGGTGAGTTGAGCATTTTTTGTGATAGAACTTGACATTTTGAAAGCAATCATGGAGAGTTCTGAGCGTGACAACGATGAAAAATGACTGAAATTTTACAAGTTAGCTTACTGAGAACCCTTCATGGTTCCATTTAAAAGATCAAAGTTTCGTCACAAAAAAAATGCTCAACTTGTCGAGCTCTTTCGTTTGATATAATAAAGTTGGGGGTTTCGAATCAAAAAAAAAATTTATAGAACTAATTTCCCTAACACTGAATCCCAATATATCAGTTTGAAGGTATGTGCGCATTAGATTATCCATTCGACAGGCAACGAATCTATTCCCTAGGACCAAGCAAAGTTGACAATTGGAGCCGAAGAACACCGTCGCATATTTTCAGATTATAGCGTATTTTCTAGTACTGAATCACATTGGATAGAGAATTGAACGCTCAATCGAATGATATGTCTCCAAAACAGTGACCTGCTTCCATTGTCGACTACGTAGGAGACGAATGCCAATCTAGTGACTTAGCATAACTTCCACTTTTGAGTCAGTATAGGCCGTCGGATACCCTCTCAGAGCAATATCTCTCTTCGAATTGTATTTCACTCGATACAGAATTGAAAAGTGTATCGAATGGTAGTTGTCCGAAAGAGAGACCTGTATGATTAGTGGACTTAATAGGAGACGAATATCAACCTTGGTATTGAGGGCAAGTGACATTTTTGGACAACAAATGACCGTCGGATACTCTCTCAGAGACAAGTCTCTCTTTGTATTATATATCATTCGATAGAGCATTTAGTGCTGAATAGTATGGTATGTGTCCGAAAGAGAGAGCTGGTTCGGTTCTGGACTAAATAGGAGATGAATGTCAACCTTCATACTGAGGACAGGTGACATTTTTCGGTCACAAATGGCCGTCGGATACTCTCTTAGAGTTATGTCTCCCATTGAACTGTCACTCATTCGAGAGAGAATTTACTGCTGAATCGAATGATATACGTACGAAAGAGAGACGTTTTTGGCTTCTCGACTTACTGGGGAGACGAATGTCAGTCCAGCCATTTCGGATAAGTGATACTTTTGGGCTCCAAATGGCCATCGGATACCCTACTACAGTCAAGCCTCTCTTCGTGCTATAACTCATTCGATAGAAAATTTAATGCCGAATCGCATACTATATGTCCGCAAAAGAGAGACCCTATTCGGTTCTTCACTTAAGAGGAGATGGATGTGCACCCAGATACTGATGTTAGGTGACAGCTTTGGACCAGATTTGACCATCGGATTCTCTGTCAGAGTCATGTTGCTCTTCGTATTATTGTCTCATTCAGTAGAGAATTTAATCCTCAATTGAGTGGTATATGTCTGAAAAAGAGAACTGGTGCAGTTCTTCACTTCATAAAAGACAAACATCAACTGTGACAACTAGCATAGTTGACACTTTTGGGCCATAAATGGCCGTCGGATACTTTCTCAGAGTGATGTCTCTCTTCGAACTGTATCTCATTCGATAGAGAATTTAATGCTTAATAAAATCGTATATGACCGAAAGAGAGGCCGGGTTTGGTTCTTTATTTACGAGGGAACGAATGTCAACCGTGGCAACAAGAACAAATGACACTTTTGGCTTTGAAT